ATACATAAGTATTTTCTGAAGATACTAAAAATAATCGACATTTTGTAACACGCGGATAATTCATAACAATCTAATAAGTAAAGCCAAGTCTCATAAAAGGAACTTTCACGACTTTATAAAAGGGATCGATTGAGGCAATAAAACAGAATGTGATCGCTTCATACGTTTACTTTATAGTCAATGAGAGTAGTACTTACCGATTAAGTAGGGACCTATTCTGGACCACGGCTTATCGTACAACGGATCAAACATTTCGAAGGGTTCCTGGATACGCGCCTTATATTGGTACCATACTGATATGTAGATTGTCGTCGCCCAAGAACTTCCCAGCAACATTATGAGTGATACCATCGCAAATTTTATATGTCTGTTGAAATAATGAGATGGCAGTTATTTTAACTCCATATATTCTTACATCGAGAGCGGGGCCACACCTTTAACTAAATTATCACAGAACGGTTGTGCGATTGTCGATTGTTTCGCAGCTCATTTAACTGTTTAGTTGTAAAAGTAAAAATCGAGTAGTGTGCGCACCTCCATATAAGCTCATAATAATCATCAGTTGTGAAATAGTTTAGTCAAAATTGTGCGCGCGCTCTAAACATATACAATACAACGACACTTTAAAAAAAAAAACTACAACTACAACTTTGCAAAAAATATTAAAACACTGTTACTTACTTTACTGATATCAGTAACAATATGATTCCTACGACATAGAACTGCGTATCATTAGCCATGTACCAGGACCACACCATGCACATCTCTTTCTGAGGGAACAGATTGTTGATGTAGAGGAGATTCCGCCACCAGAAGAGATCACACGTAATATGGTCATAGATAGCCGGCTCAAATACTGTCCTATCATGCGTATATCTTAACGCTATTTCATTCAAACCAATCACAAAAGCGTACGCTGGAGTTAATCTAACTATACGATACATTACTAATACGAAAAACGATTTGACCATTCTAAATATTTCTCCCTTCGAGTATACACTATTCTTTGGCTGGTCCAGCAAATCTTCATAGAAAGATTGTTGACTTATCACAGAAACTGACAGAGCCGAATTTGTAAAACCATTTGTGTTCTTGTTTATGTCAACGTTTGCTTTCTTTTCTGTTGTAAGTCTTCGTGCGGCGGCTTTGTCTTCGCTTCTTAAGAATAGAACTGTTACAAGCAACCCACTGAAAATAATATTAATTTAATCCATATGAATATAAGCTAATAACAAAAATATCTCTCTAATTTATATCTCAACTATCCCTGTATGAACTGAACCATGTAGTTAAGGGGTGGCTGAAAAGCAGCACGGTCTTCAGTGACTGGTGCTGAACTGAGCCTTCTCCTTTTCGCGAAGAATTCTTTTTTTTTATTTCATTAACATGTTTTTGTAAATTTTGTTTTGTTCTGTTTATAATTAAGTAGTTTTATTTTTTTATTATTATTATTAATTCATTTCCACTATTGTCGTGAACCACATAATGGCATACTCTAACTTCCACTGCTGGCTATTGGAAGTTAGAGCTTTGCAATAAATACAAAGAATGTTAATATATGTTAATAATGGTCTGGTCTAGAATAAAAAGTACTTTATATGTGAATGGGTTACCTAATAAAGAAGAATGTATCAACACAATAGGAGGCGTTGCCGACGGATTGGTATAAAAAGTTCCTCTCTGTGACGATCCTCATCGTCTTGTTGTCAGCGATGTACCACACGGTCAAGTACGTGTGAACCATTATCACCCATATCACTGACATAAATCTGCAAACAATGAAATAGTAACACAATTGTAATTAGAAAAATCTACATTGAATACGTTAAATTAATCAAATGATAGTTTCGAGGTTAAGTTTTACAATATTTACGTAAAAAAAGTAAGTAACTATTTGGTGGTTTAATAGAATTTCAAATTGAGACTAACGATATTCTTAAAATATGGACATTCAGACGACAGACTTATTTAATTCTGATCCAATTGATAACGAGTTTTTCTCGAGACGCTTTGAGAGGTGGAATTTTATTAAGTTTAATAGAAACGTTGATATGTAAGCGACCGAGAATTAGATGAGGAGAGGACTGAATGGCGTATAAATTTGTGAACGAAATTGATGTCCCTCAAATATGATTTATTAATAAAATGAAAATATTAATACCTCATCCCATGTAAGCAAGTGAGAGCTCCGTCATTGGGTTTCTGAGTGCTTAGGATTGCTCTGCCATTCGATAGTATCGAAAATGACAATAATAATTCAGCCCAAACACCTGAAATGAAAAACAGAATCAGCCAATTAGTAGTTACAACATTATTGGTAGGTACTTTTTCTTCTAAGTCATAAAATAAATGTTTTAAAAAAATAATTGTATTTTTATTTCATCGAATAGTTTTAAAATCCTTTATTTACTTGAAAAACTTACCACATTTATCACGACGTAACTCTTTATTTTCATCATCTTCTGTTTTCTCTTCATCTTCTGACAAATTTGTTATTGGCTGCAAAATCTAAGATTATATTAAATTGCCACTACAATAACAAAAGGTAAGATATTGCCATTTTACCAAATAACACGGAATATAATAAAAAATCCGCATAAAAACATTATCATACTTATGTAAGACAAAAATAATTAAGCATATCTAAGATAAAGAGTAAAACAGCGTTTTAATGGGCACAAAACGAAAGTACCAACAGAAGGTTTATAGTTGTTGTTCTGGCGAGCTTCAAGGTCTCGTAACTGCGCGGTCTTACGATACCGCCGCTCCAAGTAACCCTCGTAGAAGGACGCCACCAACATCCACAACGCTACAATAATCATAACAGACCTAAAACATGAAAAAGATTAGTAAAAGTAATGCAAGCAAAACATATTCAGAAACAGCGAGGAAATCAAAGGTTTGTTGGACTAATTCGTGCACCATAATGTTACCTAAATAAGTGTGATCACGATGATTACATCGTGTTTCATATTTCACATAACTAAGACATAAAGTCAATAATGTAAAAATCCATTGACATTTCAAGGAACTACAAAGAACATTTCGAAGCAACTTCAAAATGTTTGATTCCTCAAGACAATAGAATCAAAAGGACTTGTCCTTTGAATCTCAAGATGAAACGTCTTCACTTCTTATTGTGATCTTCACAAATGAAGATACATGTCATTTAGATACAAAAGAATTTAATATTAGGAATTATAATCATACCCTAGTATTTGTAGCTTGATATCAGCGAATAAATTATACGGTCCAGGCACTGGGCGCACGTATAGAGTACTGAAGGAAGCTGTGATACCATTATCCTGTGCTCTCTTTGTAGCCGTAGCCTCTGCGAGTGCAAACACTGCTTCTATGTTAGTGTTATTACATGACGCAGGTACGCATTGGCCAACTAACATTAATCTACTCTGAAAATAATAATACACATTTTGTTGGACAAGTTTATAAGCCAGTATTTTTGGTATACAGATATTTTACAAAACAAGAATGTTTTATAAAAATAAGCCGTGAAAACTGCAATGCAGTTTGGATTGGATAGGCGTCAAAACGCTGCAAAATTGTTATACAATTACCGAGAAAGGAAGGATGATTTTTTCACTTCTTAGAATTGCAATTGACAACTAATTTCAAAGTTCTTTTACTAATAATTCTTAGATTGATTTTAAATAAAATCTTAACTAAAATTCAATTCAAACTTTTAAAATTTTTCATATTTAGAAAATTTATTTCCCTCTCCAGTGAACTTCGAGCTTCGACTTACCTAGATTCCGTCCATTCTAAAAGTTAAAGCCCGATTTATGACTAAGTTCAGTTCTTTATTACACGATTCTAAAAACAAACGGCACGATCTGGGATGGAAATATTTAGTTCTAATATATTTTTTTAAAATTGAAATGAAAGTTAAACCAAACTTTTTATTTAGTAAGTACAATATCACATTGTATTTACTAAATAAAAAGTGTATTTATTTTGTAACTCGATTGTCCATAAATTTTATACTGGTGCCGCTATTGTTCCAAACGCCCGCTATCGCTGTATTTGACGTCATAACAAAAGCTCTTTATTGAATGCTTACAAGTGTAGAAAGCTGTCCTGTAAAGCTGATAACGATGCGGGCTGTGAAGTATATCCGTGCAGGCACTATCAATGTACGCAAGAATAAATATCGCTAATTTTATAATTATCTTTTTCTGCTGAAATATTATAAACAAAGAGACAATATCTCACTTGTGGCATATGATCAGCGTCGACGGTAAGGTTGATTTTGGCGACGAAGAACGTCGTTTTGAATGGCGGCGTCTGCTCATAGTATTGGCGTAGCTGCAGGTCGGCGCACGCGTTTTGCGAGCCCAGCCAGTACTCGTTGCCGAACAGGATATTTGGACTGTATTGACCGGACGCGTCGAAAACTGTAAAATAGAAAAAAATATAGTTATACCTTGATAAATCATATAATTTAATTTCTGTATTAACAAAACACTTTAAAGTCTTAATATATTCTAAATACTAATTTTGAAATGAATCTCATTCCAGTGTTGATCTATTTTACAACAAAACGCTTCACTATGAAATACATATCTTCAACGTAAAATAAAAATAAAACAAAGTTTTAAAAAATCGTTACAACAAAGCATCATTATTGTATCAGGTCATAATTATTTCGTACCTCAAGTTTTCACCTTTTTTGGAATTTTAATGTTGAAAAGTCAACTGAACTATTCAGCTGTATTCGCTTTTAAAATGCATGTAATAAATAACCCATAAAGCACATAAAGCGTTTGGGTTCTTTTATCACGTCGCTGGCTTTTCAACTCGTATACGAAGACATTTATGAGTTCGATCGTGAGACCAATTGATCGGGCGTCGATTGAAGAAAACCGGGACTATATGAAAGAAACCTTATTCACAACTTTTTTAATAGTAGTTTAGCCTGACTAAACTTAAAGTAGAATACAACATACGATCTAAATTTTATTTAATACTAGTTTTTGCTGAGACAAAGATGCCGTTCTGGAGTTACCTTCTAACAGTCCATCCATCTATCTGAACATTCGCATTGTATGATATTAGACTTTTTAATTAAATGAGTTAATGTATTTTATGTTTTGTAACGTTTGTTGTTTTTTTTAAATATAAAAATCCCTTTCAATTAATTCAAACTCTAACATCTATTTTATTTTTAATCTGTTATTCCGTTTCGCTGCATTCATAAATTGTAGCATCACAATTGTGTAATAATTAAACTTGTTCTTTATTTAACTTGCATTTCTCTGGCATCTTCTCAACATGTTTATTGTTGAATTAAAAAGGAACTACCAAGTTTTCATCCATTGAAATAACGGACTGGCATTGTTCGGATTAAAGTTAGCGCGGATACTCTCAGAGAATAGCATTTGTTTTTCTTACTTTCAGTGCCTCTAACGATATTATTTAAAGTCAGTTGGTCTTCTAATTCAAATTACACATCATACAAATCATAGTTCATACTAATATTATAAATGCGTAAGTTTACATGGATGTTTTTTAAAGTTTGTAGCTTAAACGACTGAACGGATCTGCATGAAATTTAGCACAGATGTAGAGGATAGTCTGGAAGAACACAAAGGCTATTTATTTATTTTATGCGGACGGAGTAGCAGGCAAAAGCTAGTTATATTATTAACACATACAAATCGTGGATATCTATCATCAAACATGACTGTCATCACGCAAAATCTCTTTTGTTTGCTTGAATATTTTAAACAAGAGAAACTGAAGGTAAAAGGAAGTAAAAACGATATTTCGACTATCGGTATCGGTATCGGTAAAAACGATACAAATTATTGCAACTACAACTAACGTAATGAATCATAGTTGAAGTTCCTTGAAACTATGTTATAATATTATTGTAATAAAAAATAGAACTGCTATCTCCGTGTCTGCAATAAAAGCGGCGCAATGTCTCGAAGGAGCGTCGTTTGATCAACGTAAATGCTCTTCAGATAGAAGTAATGGAACGTTTTTCCAACACAAATGCACTTGTCTGCCTGCATTGGAATCAGGTCGATGCTATTTCAAAGATAAAACTATTACATTCCTTAATAGTTGCATTCCGTAATAGGATATTCTATGTTTAATAATGGTTTTATTAAAATACAAATGTATATCATAGACCAATATTATAAACAGAAAAGATTTTTATTTTTTGTTTGTATGATTCACGTAAAAACTACAGGGACGATTTTAAAAATTCTTTTACCATTAACAAGGTATTTATCTGTGAGTAGCATAGGCTATTTTTAAATTACACGCGGACGAAGTCGCAAGGTTTGCCTTTGGCATAGACGTAGAGGATAATCTGGAAGAACACATAGGCTACTCACTTTTGTTTTATCTACTTCCACGCGGACAGAGCCGCGGGCGAAAGCTAGTTTTAAGTATTTCAACCTGTTCTGTACAAATTATGAGTACACTTAGATAATCTAAGCTAAGTTAAATTGTTCTTAAATAACCTATAAACATTATTTTATATTAAATTGTCTAGAAAACTATTTAATTTGAAATTAATTACTATATCTAATTATTTAAACTGCAGATAAATAATACAAGGTGAATAAAACAATAACAATCTTCATTCTGTCACTCCTCTATCTCTCTCTAAGGTGAGAATAAACTTTCATATTTATTACAACAGTCTAAAAGTAAATGATATTTAAAAGTAAGATCAAAACATAAATTATAGAGTAAATTGTAATATAATAATCATTTAACTAAGATTAAGGGCCCGAATCAAAAGGCAGTTTTTTTAGAAACCGCACTTATTGTCCTCACAACCTCCGTCCCTGCATCCCTGACCACTGGTTGCTTGAATCATCGGATTCCACAGCCGGTGGTGCTCTATTTTTTATATAATATGTAAAATCAAATCATGTAAAATGTATTATTTATAAAATAAGAAATAAAGATGATAACAATAGTAACTATAATAGTATATCAATAATAATAAATGTTTCCTTTTAAAAGGCACAAATTGTTTTTAAGAAGCGAATATAAAGAGCCGTTGATCAATATTAGAGAGTAGAAAAGTAATGCAAGCTTTATGAAATAATCCATGACTTGCGATTATAAACGCGAGTTTAAACTAAAGTCTACTGCAGTCTTATCTGTGCCACGGCCGTACTTTGTCCCAGTTAACTCCTCCCTTCTAATGTTGCATTTCCTATTAACAAAACAATCGAATTGTCTATGACCATTGCTTTGTGTACATGGTAATTAAAATTTAGTAATCGTATGAATAAGCTTTTAGGTTAAATCTCACGCACGAACAAGCTTAACAACGTATATTTCTTGTAACTATAAGTGGTAGGGCTTTCGAACTTTGTACACTACTCGACAAGAATAATTCAGTCTTATTAAGGTGCGTACTGACCAACGTTACGAGGTGTTACGTTCGTATCTTGCGCCCATTGATCCCTAGTTTACCCGTTACCATCTATGTACTGTTTGCATGAATGCTCACCGTGTAACGTATTTCATTACATCTTGTTACTTCGATCAGTACGCACATTTAACTTAAATTACAACTTAAATAGTTTCAACGCTATTATTAATATTTACGTTTTAAATTAGTAATAATATAGGTCTGATGGGATTTTAACCGAAATTACTTTCCGCAAGAAGTTACACTATTAATATAACAGCTGTTCATAAATCAGCAAGGTTAATTAATTTATATTTCAAGTTACCCTGTGATCAAACATTCACTTTTGTGCACGGATCAAACTGTTCAAAGTCCATTAGGGTGATAAATTATTGAAAGATGAATTTACTATCACGGATGGAATTATTAGCCATAATTATTCTTTTACAATATAAACATGAATTATGACTATGCCTACGTCACCATCTAATGGATTTAGTGATCGTTTTTTGTTTGTGAGAGAGAAATTTGAATTTAGAAGAAAGAAACAACCGACAGATTGGTAACTAGTACTGATTGTTGCCATTAGTTTGAAAAAAGGAAAAAAATATAAATTGAACTTAGAAAAAAAAAATCTTCAATAATAAATGTGCCTTGAAACATTTTATTCGACAGTGATAACTGACGGTTACAGCTAACAATTTCTAACTCTTTCTGTCATCAGTTGAAATGCGATCCGTCGCCCGAATGGTAAATACGCATACGTATGTTAAATACATATATTAACGTAAATAAACACCGGCAGTAGGACACGTTACATAATAACAGGTTCCCGCCACTTTTCCTTTACAGAACGCACAGTTTTCCCTTCTCTATAATACGTCAAACTGGTCTAGAATTGAAATCTCACTATCTTCATACAACTGTGATATGGCGTCGCTTGCTTCTGAGTTCACAGTCTGATAGTTACAAAGATGACCTTTAATATAATATTTAATTATAATAAAAAGAGAAGAAAAAGACTTTTACAATTAGATAACTCCATCAATAAATAACCTAGTTTGATTTTTTTATGCTGATTTAGGACTAGATGTAGACAGCGAATCCATCTGCTGGAATTAAAAAAAATAGCATATAGCCTATGTTCTATATGTGTGCACAATTTCATCGAGATCAGTTAAGTTGTTTTTGTGATACGTAGTAACAGCCATCCATCTAAACTTTCGCATTTATAATATTAGTATGTAGTAACTTTGCTTAGTAAAATTATTTAACAAAGTAAGGGGTACTGTTAGACGATAAAATAAGTCGTAAATATTAAATTGTGACATGTATGAAATGACTCAAAGGGTCTTTGACTTTTAGTTCGAAATGATGTAGTAATAGGTGACAGATTGAGCCTTGGACTTTCCAAGTGAGATTACAAAATGTTTTTATAATGAAAGTTCGAAGCTTAATTCCGAGAATTGCTAAAGAGTATAAACGCTTACGTACTTTGGTAACTGTTTTTAATATAGTACGAGTACTAATGGTATAGTTTTTAATACCAAAATTTTCACTTAATATAAATGTGTAATGTTTTATTAGTTTTGACTACAGTTTGCTGTTATCAAATTTTAAAAAATCTGATTTCTATTACATTTTAAGCAATGTCATTCGCTTACATTTCAACAGACAATATTCTTGTCAATAAGACGGTATACAAAGCTCAAATTGTGTAGTGTAGTGTGTAATAAATAAAAAAAACCGTACAACTGTAATTCTCAAAACAATCTACGAGTATCAATAACATAATCAAGTTTAACGTAGAACATCAAACAATGCCGCAATGTGCGTGTGAGTGAAAAGAATTGCTCACTTTCACGGATTACTTATGAAATTGTGATTTACACATTATGCGCGATTTGCGCAAGCGAGCGCGCGGCTGTATTATGTCACAGGCCAGTGCTCGTTGCTAACATGCCCCATGCGACCACGCGACCGCACGACCACGCGGCTACACGGCTACACGACCATGAGACCACATGGCTACGCGACTGACTGACCGAATGCCGACTACGAGCCAACTACCCAATAATTATTTAAAAGCAATTAATAGCAGATTAACTTAGTAAATACCCTCAATGTAGATACAGTCGAAGTGAAAAGTCGAAGGAAAGTTTGGCCTGAGTCTTTCTACACAGAGTTTAAAAACTATGTTAACTAAATTATCGGTCTTCGTTCCAACCTGCTTATATTATGTGAAGATGTTTAGCAAGTTCCCTATAAATGTTACTTATTAGAACCTTTTTCAACTAAAAGGTCGCAATGGTTCCATAATTCAGTGGTAGGTTATGATACAAAAAATGTCGAAATTACATTATGTAGATTCGAATGTGGCCGATATAATGAAATGTGAATAATATTAATGTTTCCAAATGTAATGTAAAAATATGCAGAAGCAATGTTTTCCGAATTTTTGAAAGTAAAAATGTAAATGATAATATGTTTTAATGTATAAGCAATACAATTTCTCGTTACAAAGTAATTTCATGTACATTTTATACCGAAATTTGCACAATTAATTTTGTACGTACAACGTATTCCGAACGCTTTCACCCGACGACAGAAATATTCAACAAAACAATTTTACGCAATATCGCTATGTAATTAATTTACCTACCTAAAGTTTATTAATTACAAAGCATTCCCTTAGTACAGATTTACACTAAAGCTGCACTAAAGACATATAGTAATCAATCAATAACTGAGTCCGGCAGTAAGATTGGTACGCGCACATTTACATTTATTTCGTAATATTTCACCATCCTTTCAGTTACAGAATTTCATTTATTACATTAATTTTCCATCCAAAGAGATTACTGAAGACATTTACCAACTACGACGCCTAATCCTTTTAGATATTAGTGAAACTTTGAATGACATGCAAAAATTGTGTGATAAACTGGCTTGCGAGAAAGACCCAGAAAGAGGGGGGTAGATTGCTTGAGAGGTGACATGATCAAAAAGGAATTGATGACAGATGACGGATGATACAGTTATTTGGGGAACGAAAACCTGGCGTGCTGACCTTTCGGGAGTGGGATCAAGTAGAGATGCAGATGTAAATTGTTTGCTAGATATCTAGAATTGACAGCATTATTTATCTTTGGTTATGAATTACAAAAGCTTGATACATATGCGTCTTCCTTCGTCTAGTCGTAAACACATAGGTATATTTTTATAAGGAAAAGGGGATAAACGGTGAGAACACAGGTGGTCAGCGATGCTATTGATATTCACAATACCAAAGGAACTAAATATGCATTATCGACCTTTGATGTACACATAAACTGATAGAGGAGGTAAAAATTAGTAATGTACACATCGTTACTAAAATTTGCTAATTATCAAAATAGCCCAAACCAAATAAACTGCTAACGTTTTCTCATAACTACATCCAACCGATTAATCTACGTAACAATTTAAAACTCGTTTATCTGTGAGACAGTTTGTTCTGTAAAGAGGTCAGTAAGGCAATAACCCGCTCACCATAGATCTTATAATAGTCACAGGCCAGTTGTATATAAGCCGCTTATATATAATTTCATTCATGAGCAAACAAAACTAGTTCTGTAAATAGAAACAGGTTGTGACATAACATTGCTTGAGCAATATAGATTTCTCTTGGAGTATTTTTAAAATACACTAGAACTAACAAGATATAAATATTACATAGCATTATATGGTAACTAGTAGAAGTTTGTCATATCGTTTGCAAAACTAGTGCTTTTTTCATCTTGGTACTTACTATAATTACTTTAAAGATTTCACTGACGTGATTATTCTGTTTTAATAGATATATTATGTAGATGATTAAAGTTATAAAAGGAAGAACAAACAATCCACTTAAAATTACAATACCACTATAGTGCCATTCAAATTTTGGCTGCTCGTAAGCATGAGAGCGCACAACACAATTGAAATATCAAAAAATTGTAAAGGGAAGTAGGGAACCCTATCCTGTATTTCCTCTTTAACCACAAGGAAACATTAAGGTAGCCACCAACCGTTATATAGTTTGCATCTTATACTCGTAATAATAGCGAGTAATTTAGAATTATGTACCGGCTTACAGTTTTGGAATTTGCTAAACTTACGACGCGCCTCAAGTATCAAATCACATTATGCTTTTTTGTTTGCACATAATTCTTAGGGCGCGCGCACTTGTGACTAAACTTTGGCACAAATGTTTAGTCCCTGATTCCTATGAGTTTATATGGAGGTGAGAACTGCGAACACTACTCGATTTTCATTTGTGCAATTAAACAGTTAAATGGGCTGCGAAACAATCGACAATCGCACAACTGTTGTGCGATAGTTTAGTCAATAGTGTGCGCCCGCACTTAATGCTTACGACTACCAAATTGCAAATTGAGAGTAGTTAAACGTTCGACTTTCGTTCCGTTGGCAGTGATTCGATTTCCGAGAAACAGCGATACTATTGAAGAGAAAGTAATCAAGATTTAAATATAATAAGCGGTATGTTAAAAAGCATTCAATGTACATGAAAAATATATACCACTTAATTTTATAATAGACGATATTCCAATAGGTATAAAATAGTTAAATTAATAGAAGGTGGTAAATGGAAATCTGGAGCGTGCTCTATAAATGATGGGAGGGCTTTAGGATCTATTGAAACACCTGAAAGGGTCTTATTATTCTGACAATTTTCTCTTAACAAAAACAAAAATGTTGAAGATCATAAATAATATTATTTTACGGTCAAAATCTTTACAAAATTTTAAGTAGGTTTGCTCATCTGTCGTAATTTTAATTAACATTTCTAAACCATTTTATTATGATTTAATCCGTTTAAAAACTGAAGTGATTTAAAAACTTAATCTATCGTTTAAACTAGGATTACATATTTTTCATACAAAGTAATTTTCGGATCGATCTCAAGGACGGAATAAACTTCAGCGATTAATAAAAACATTATGACTTTAACAATAACAATTGAAATACGTTGTTTTTTTAAATAATTTGTATGTTATTATGTAGATCACGTTTGCAACAGTAACATATAAAAGCGTTGCATGAAGATAACCGCAGTTTTCCTCATGTTACCGCACACGGGCGTGTAATGAAACACTTTGAGCTCTTATTCTTCAAGTCATTAAGAGTTATGGATATGAATGTACTTAACTGGACAATCACCGTAGAAATACTAACTTACTTATATTTTTCTGAGGTTACGGTTAACCTTAACCGTACAAGTTATTATAAGACTAGCTATCCTCTACATCTATGCGAAATTTCATCGAAATCTGTTCAGCCGTTAAGGCTACAAACTCTAACAAACATCCATCCATCCATCTAAACTTTCACATCATACTAATATTATAAATGTGAAAGTTTAGATGGATGGACGGATGGATGGATGGACGGCTGGATGTTTGTTAGAGTTTGTAGCCTAAACTGATGAACGGATCTCAATGAAATTTGGCATACATGTAGAGGATAGTCTGAAAGGACACATAGACTACATGGTTTTGTTTTTTATTAATACCACGCGGACGGAGTCGCGGGCGAAAGCTAGTTTATAATATTAGAAAGATTAAAATTGAAATTATGTTGTTTTTTCTTAACAAGACGCAATATCTTTAACTTTTTTTTAATAACAATTAAAAAAGTGATTCTTTTTTTTAATTGTAACTCTTAACTGACTAATGAGTTTTTATAAACCTTGACATTCTAACACTAATCTCCCGCTCTCTATAAATATTTAAATAAGCACTAAATAACTTTTAGGATGAGAGTCGCAACTAACCTTGGTAATACATAGCTAGAAACTAGAAGGTTATTTTAATTAAGGTTATTTTATAATGAAACATCTTAAAATAATTCAATTGTTAAACGTTTTCGTTTTTTAATTTGTTTTTAATTTCATTTTTATACTGTGTTTTGTCGGTTTATTTCATTACGGTAACATTGTCATCATGAAATTAGATTCAGATTAGAATAGATCACATCTGGAAAATAACAAGGTTATTGAATTGAAGACATTTACTACATTGAAAGGATATCACAGTCTACTATTTTATATTTAAATTTAAAAAAAAATCGCAACGTTTGCAAATATGTTTACAGACAAAGTATTGTGTACAAAACGAAAATATTAGACTTCTTTAACCTCTCATGTAGCAATCTTACACCCAATTTTTATTTTATCTTATGCCGTTCTACATGCTCAAAAACATAAACTACTAGCTGTTGCTCGCAACTTCGCCCGCGTGAATTTAAAAAATATAGCATGTGTTACTCGCAGATAAATTACCTTTCTAAATGTGAATGAATTTTTAAAATCGGCCCAGTCGTTTTTGAGTTATTTCAATACATACAAGAATACAAATCTTTCCTCTTTATAATGTTTGTGTAGAATAATATTATTAAAACTTTTTTTTGCTTAATAAGTAGCAGAAAACACACTGTTCAAGAATATGTAGGAATTCAATATAAAGCATAACCTAAAAAATATATCAAGTCATTACTGCAAAAAATACTCACTTTTAGAAGCCCACAGTTCTCCTTTGTTTAGCGCGATCACATATCGCCTGAGTTCGGACGCGCATTGATCAGGCAAAATCACGTTATCAAGCACATCCAGCCAGTCATGGTGGTCCACCAGACCTTTAATCCAGGCCATACGAGACCCTTGCCCTTCCGTAGAGTTAACATCACCACTGACCACACACAACACTGAGATAAACAACACTAATATTGTTTTATACATTGTACTAGAATTAACACACATTTGAGAGAACTAAATTACTAATGACATCTTAGTTCTCTACACTGACAATGGACGACCATGTTCTTCCTGTAACAAAGAGAATAGTTATTATTGAAAAAATGTATTTTAATATCTTGATAACTCAGTAGACTTACAAATAAACGCGGAATAAAGTTTAAGTTGTACTAATATTTGCTTATACTCAGTTTATTCCTAAGTATTATTTATACCGCGTTTATTTGTAAAGCTGTAGGTGTTTAGACAGAAATTAAGTTTAATTTATCTCAGTCTATTTCTGTAATCAAACATTTAAGAATAGAATGCGAGTAAACCTTGATTTTATAAGTGAAACAAAATCTTTATTACTACATCCAAATAAATATTTAAACTAAACTGTAACAGAATTGACATGTTTCAGAATGAAATAAAAATGTTTGATTTAAAATATTTATTTCATTACCAAATTATTTCGCAACTTAAGACATTTTCCTCTTAACCGTGTTATTTAATATTTAATTTTGTTTTTTCAAACTTTTTCCCGGTTGTTACATCCATCGAGCATTCATTACGAGGCGAGAGCGGAAGCCCCTGCCCTGAGAATTTATTCATATACCTTACCGAAGGAACTCCGCTACATTTTATATTTTTACTGGTTAAATATTACCTATTAAATTTAATTTCCTTCCTTGATTACTTACATTTAAAAACTATATACGAGTACTTGATATTTGAAATTCTGTTCTGTTTATTTAAACTGAAATATTAAAGTGTTTTAAGATCAAAATGAAACAAAATTGGGTTTAGTATCTAGATATTTGTAAACTTCCATTAGTATACGTGTTCTAATAAACATCGGAACAAAGTATTCATTAGTGTTTCCTTGTTCCGGAAGCGAATCGATTGCATCCGACGAGACTGCTGAGTTGGAAATTACCGTGGGATCAGAGCTACGCCTCGTTCATTACATACCACACTGACTTGCGAAATCACTATGAGAAAGTGCGTACTTTATAAACACATAGTTAATTTTATAGCCGTTACAACGTTTCATCACTACTTATGAAATACATTTAACGTGAAACGGTTATATGTTAATTAAAAAGAAATAATAGCAGTTCATTATACAGGTTAGCAATGTTAAACGGATCCTCATTATGAACTAGGTTAATGTTATGAGATTATGTTATGCGTAATCTATCTGTACTATTATATTATAATAAAGCGTAAACACACACTTCTTTGTTGCCTAAGATGTCAGCAGTTACGTTGTATTTTTGAATAATTTTGTTTTTAATAAAAGTTTTAATAAAACACTTATATACTTAAATATATTGGATAAATATATTTAAGTATATAAGTGTTTTAATGGGGGAAAGAGACCATAAGTTGTTGCCAACATTAAGGAAGCAAGGTTGTCATCATGTCATGTCATTGATAATTTGACAAATGTAAACAAAATAAAAATTTCATGCGGATGAAGTCGCGCGGTAAAAGCTAATCTTTTAATCAAAAGAATTTAAGCAACTTTAACTTTATTGGGGTAAACTGTTTCAATAATTTTTATCGAGTTTCAAACATCAATGTCATCTATAATTTTTATATTGCACATGGCCAATAAAATTTACCGACTATTTTGGTATTTCATTTAAAATAAATAACTACAACCTGTTTCCTTTTGTATTCAATTTTTTTTGCATTAAAATTAATGTCAACGTAACTTTGATGTCAATTCCGCTCCATTGTGGAGAGAAATTTCGCAACAAAGTTCAAAGATTATATTAAATTTCTCCTTTGTACTGTTTTGTTGAGAATTCACTTTGTCCCCGATTAATATTTACGAGAGAGTTCCGCACAGAGGGCGCGAGCGAGCTTGCACTGTCATTAATGTTTCTGCCTCGAACGGTGGCAAAGCATGAATTACAAATGTCAGACTTCATTCCAACCACTTCACTATTGCAGCAAGTGATAATTCGTGTAACAAAAATGTGATAAAGAGGGGAAAATACTCTTCTCGGCTGTGGTTCCAAAATTAAATTCTTATGTAAAAATTTGAAACTTTCGCCCCGGTTTAGGTATCTAATAACATGCCTAGAGATGTTTCTTTTCATTTTTTCTTTATATTTTATTTATTAAATTAAACATTTTTGTGTGATAAAACTTTGAACAGATTAAAAAGATTTTTTTATAAATGTAGTCAAAGCAATCCTGGGAGGAAATCTTGTATCCAGTCTCCAGTAGTCACTTTCGCTCCCTAACGATAGCATCTTGATTCAAGTGCGGTCAGGGAGGACGTAAAACGACGTTCAACTTGTTCAGTAAGATTCGTTTGGTATAGAAACCTTTCAAAAATCTTGACCTTAATGTTATTTTAATAAAAAAAAAATATAACATTATAATACTTTGTGTACAATTTAATGTTTACGTTATACATTGTATTATATTTTTCTTTTGCTGATTATCTGTATGAGAAATGTTAGAGATATACCTACAATATGGATAATGTTATTGATTACATGAAATGATCTTTCTATGTAAACAATAAATTAAAGGAAACTTTAGTGATTAATTACACACGATTATTCTTACTACAAAGATGCACCTTTTATTATTTAACCTATAACTTCTAGATGGAACATTAATGCGATATTTAAAAAGTAAATAAATTCTCATAAATTGGATATAATTATTTTCAGCCAGTAATATTTCAACAATATTGCATTAAAACAACAAACTTTTAATTACTTTCCAATCATGACACGGAAGTTAACAGGTTTGTTTTAAAATAAAAAAAAATGTGTCGCTTTAGCAAGTTTTACAAAATAGCTTTCCAGATATCTCGTTATGTAGAAGTGAGGCGCAGAGCACCGTGGCGCTGATCGGTACAGCAACAAACCGGTACGTTATATAATTGAATACGTACCACTTTATGTACCTTGTGTACAGTCTTACGGCATTTAAGATTTAACGGATTTTACAGTTATTAAGATGAATTGGATGGATTATTTACCTATCTGCATAGGATATTTTCGTTTTTGCTGTAGGCACGAAGATATTTAAATGTAAAACCAATCCGTACTGGATTACTTTGGTTGAGGCCTAGTCATTCTTAATTTAGGCCAAGCTCGAGCTTCTCTGTGCCATATATGAGCTAACAACGCGTTGTTTGGCGTTTTGAGTTGAACAAAACGTCCTTTGTTGAACCAAACGTGCGTTGTTGGTTGGTTGTTGAACAAACGCTGACCAAAATGTGTTGTTATCGTCATCTGTTTTGACGTTTTATGTAATTTAACTATAAAGCGCCAATGGTTTTCTAATATTATGCATTAAGTATAATTAAAACATTTAGTCGTTAATTATACTTCATTGTGAAGAAATTATCGGTTTCGGAATGTAGAGATGGAAACAGAGACGTTTCACTTTTTTTGCATATTCGTGTAACTCTAAACTATCTTAAAAGTAGAGGTCAAAATGTCGTAAACTGTTGGAAAAACTAAATTATGTACAACAGAAAATGTACACCTACATATGTCAACTATGCATATGTTGAAGCGAAGCTTTTAGTTTCAAATTTAAATAATAATTAAAATAAAAAAAATAAAAGAAATAAATAAAAAAATAACAAAAATCATAGGCCCCAATTTTGGAATGTATTAAATTATTCAGGTTTTTATCAAAACGTTTTAGACTCATAGGGATTATGCTAACAAAATCTGAATACTTTTTTAAAATTCAAAAATTAATTCTGAACCGAGCCTCGCGCCAGGTCGGCATCACAATAAAGAACATAATAACAAAACTCAATTTAACGCCAACGAGGGAATACTATTTTGTAATACAGTTTAAAATTATGAATTATTTTAGTGAAAATGAAACTTGACGGGGAAAATTATTTTCGTTTCTCACTTCATAATTAAAGTTCGAATTTTGTCACTTAGTTTACCCCTTAAAGGGAAACCAGAAAAACATTGTTATCCTCGATTTATGTACAGATAACAAAAGTAACCATGTAATGTTTCGTATCGGTATATTGTCATTTGAAATTTACAATTAAACAAACCATAATTTGCAACGGAATTTTGCTATTTTAACCGTCTTTATTCGTTCTTTAAAGCTATTTTTACGAAAAAGATATAAATGCTAATTATAATTACACGTATTTACTTTTGTACAATATGTTTATGTTTATAAGCAAATGCATGTTCTTTGTTCTCAATGAAGGGTCATTCATCAAACATTGACAGACAACACGTATGGTTGACCTAAATTCATTGAATACGCCATAGCTTGCGGTTTGCCTCTGTCACAACAATGTGAATTGTGGTATGTCTACGATAAACGTCTTTGAAATTCTAATGCAAACCATAAACCACAGAATGCGTTCTCTATAGTTTATAACACCAACTACTGGCAGGAGTCTGCAAAACAATATTCGATAAATTTTAATTTGCCATTGCTGCCAGATCATTTGAACTACATCACTCCGTTTATGAAGTCCTGGTACTTTTTGTAATTTCATTGCAATAATAGCTAAAAGTTGTAAATTCAAATAAAGACATACATATGCTTTAACTAAAAGCGCATAAAACCTTGATATGTTGCAACATACGAGTAGTACCGTACATTGACACCACACAAGCACAATCACCTTGTATATTGCATTACTCACTTGTTTATGTTCTTAAATTTAAAGTTTTTATATGTTTGCCTTGAGCTTATTTCTATTAATGTTAAGTTGTGTACACACGGTTACATGATTTAAATTATAATGCGCTTGTGTACACTTTATAAAATGAGAGTTGTCAAAAAGTTTGCCTTGATTCAAGATGTCTTGAATTAGATGTTCACTCAAAAACTGGCGGCCCCTTGCAAATGGTAGTGCTTGTAAATTACATTCAGGGTTGTTAGTAAGATTGTCCAACAAAATGATGTTCTACGGTCACATTCGACCTCGCATATTCCTTGTTTTCGTCTTATCTAAGACTTTCTGACCTTTTGTAGAGATTAAAGCGATCCTATAATAATTTGAAACTTATTTATTCGAAAACAAAAATATTGTGCAACTTCCGTTCATATTCACGTGCATTTCACTTTTACATTTCGAAAGCATGCAATATAGTCTTAATTTATGCATTCAAATGCACTCTAAAATACAAACAGATTAATCGTACAGACATGTTATCGAGTTTAAGCGAGTTTTATTATTATATTTTAAATATTGTTTCGAAAAATATTAATGCATATTCATATATTACCAAAGCAATTTTACGAAAGCTTGGTAAAACATGCATGATGCAAGTCTGTAGAATTTCATTATAAATGGAGTATTTTGTATTTAATGTAATGTTCGAAAGTTTATTTGTAATACGCGTTGTTATTATTTTGTAACCTTAAACTTTATTCTGTTGTAATTTCTTAGAACAATGATAATCAAAATGTTCTATTAACCTACTCATATTAAGATTTTAGAGTTCGATCAGGTTATAAAAATTATAGTTTATTATAAAATTAAGTAGCTATCCGTAGTGAAAAATGTACTTTGATAAGAATAGTAGAAAAGCGTAACAGCATTTTTAAAGCATATCATAAATATAAATTACTTTTATACATTCATAAACCTTTAGGAAAAATTACGACGCTTTCTAAAGGGTGAAAGGTCCCAAGGGCGATAACTTTGGAGACAATGAATGAATAAATTGCTTACAAACGAAATCTCCGAAATGTGTTTAAGGTGGCGCGAACTGAAGACGTAATGGAGTGATTCATTGCGACAGGCCGCGGGCTATTGGTGGGCTAATGGCACTCATTACTCACGGACAAACACTCCCTTTGCTGAGACCCTGTTAATGCAGCATAGTACAAAACATTTTCTGTAAGATCTTTTATGTCTTTTCAAGAGTTGTCAAAATGATTGGGCATTTACAAGCCGCTAGAAACAAAGAGTGATGCCTTTGTTGGGAATAGTGTTTTTTAACATCTGTAGAAGAGACTCAAAACAACATGCTTGTAGATACTTGCTTAGCAGCTATGTTAATGCTTAGCTGATAGTCACGATCACTTCTTAGTTTTTTGTACTCGTAGGAATTAATCCTCACAAATTGTTATACATTGAATTCTACTATATCCCTGTGACGTTAGCTAAGAGATCATGTTTGATGACGTAACAATGAGACATCTTCGTTATTCGCAAACCGGCAATCCGGTGAAAGTTCATAGCGAGATCTTGTTTAAAGAGATCTCTTCGTTCTGTGTGTCGTCTGTTTGAATGCCTATTAGATGTAGAGAGGGGCTTCCACGTAACTATAACGGACGTGGCATACATTTAAGGGGTTAATGTGCGAATTGATTAAACATGTGTGTATTTTTTGTTCACACACGAGTGGCGTAAATGTTCGGTATGTAATGGAGCGCGACTCGAAGGCGCGTTGTTTCGCTTCGCTTTACGCAATGTTTCGACGCAATCGCTTGACTTCAGTTTCGTTGGGCTAATTAATACTGTTATGATAACATTACACACTTTTCGAGTATCGAAATATCGAAATCGATTAGTAATAATTCCGTATAATTTACAATGAAATCAATGCAGGTACCCTCATTTTTTATTATCCAAAAACGGTAATCGGTAACTCGAGTGTTGAAAAGGGAAAATGTTAGTTAAGAAGGTCATCATAATAAATTTAACATCGATTATTACGTATTTCTAGATCACCGTTAGACTGCAATAGATATGAATTAGTGCTGCTTTTATCCAGTGGCTTCAAGACTCCGTGTCAATTTGCTTTTTCATCGTAATACCTTAGGTTAACGTAAATATCGCTGTCAAAAAACACGTGCCCTTTCGAAAGTTACGTTAATCTACGTCTAAGTTAGCAGGTAAGTTTTAAATGTTAAGTATTAAACACTCAGCTTAATTGAATCTTTGGATCTTATTACAAATTTCTTAACTTGCTCTGAAATGCTTCAAACTTTGTTATGTCGGTATCGAGGCTGCCATTTACAACGCTGTAAGTTCACAGCTGGCAGATTGCTAATTAACTTCCCGTGAACAGTTACTCGCCTCATGATTAATCAAATTTCTTCGACTTAACTCTTATAACACCTTTTAATTCTAAACAGATTGAATTAGATGTCGTTAGTGTCAGTGTTTTGTTTGTTTACTCGTATGTCTTAATTACTTTCACAAGATGCGGAAAAATAATTGTAACTATTAAGTACAATCGGCTAGTATTATAAATAGGTTTAGATGGATGCAGTCAAGTTTATTTTTCTTGTAACTGAAACGGCTGAATAGAGAAGTTTTGAATGCAGACAAATTACTATTGATAATCGATTACTTTTTGTTTTTTTTTTTTAATTTTACGCTGACGATGTCTCTGCTTAGTTACTTTTATTATAATTAACAAATAAAATTATTGTTACTTACTATTATGATTTCAAAACAATTATTTTCAGATTAAGCACATCAAGAATCGCTTAAGCTCTTCTCAACAAACTAATCGCAGGATCCATTTCATATATACAGAAAAAGATATCTAATTGCTGTTTCGTAAAATTTACTGTAAAATAGAGATAGTGGAGTGCTGATGACAAATTCTTGCAAAAGCGTTCTGTTTTCACAAGTAACAAGCAGCTGACATTTTGCACATCGTGTTACGAAATTGCAAATAGTAGTGGCATGTAAAACTATTTTATTTTTACAAATATGACCGTATTCAGAGACTTTAATTAGTCACTAAGGGATTCTTAGTGTTTTTTACACTGAATCTACACTAAGGAGGACGGACTCGTGAATCTAGAAATTTTCGCCACAATTTTTTAAAGCAAAAGTTGACTAATACTAAAACATGAGCACTTAAGGTTCAGTTCAGTGAAAAAAATATTTGTGTTGCATAAATCGGCATAATTAAAACAATTTCATAGGTTTCAGAGCATAAAATGTTAGTCGGCCTTCACATACTCGTATATAATTACTCGTATATGCTGCTTATGACATATGGTAAATAGTTTTTTTCATCGCAATACTGAGCAATTTCTTTTCCGACAACGGGCGTTGCACTTAGGCGGCTTGTAAACTTAGACAAGCTGGACACTAACACGACTTATGTTATCTTAGTAATCTATTTGTATAGTACGTATTCATAAGAATTAGTATAAACTAATTGGTTTTGCCTGTGAATTCGGACGTGATAAAAAAAAAAACTTAGTATTAGAATGAGTCTGATTAGTATGATATAAGGATTTTTTTTTAAATAATTGGCAGTCTCTGAATCTGCTTTAATAGTTTCAGGCGTACATTTTTCTAGAATAATACTTTGGTCGATTTAAAGTTCGTTTTATAAAATAAACATACATAATTGTTACTAGCCAAATTAACATTTAATTCTAGTATATTTTCTTATAAGTACGAGAAAGTCATAATTTTTCTTCCACTTGTTAAATAAATTATTAGAAATGTAGAGAAATAATTTAATAAATAATTAACGTACCAAATTTTGTAATAAAAATCCAGGGCGTAGACCCTTCAGCAACATGTAAATTCCACTTTTTACCCGAATTCAATATACATGGAATCGACGAATAAGGAAATGTAAGAAAACGTCGTGCGTCAATAAAAACTGAAAGTAAAGCCGGGGCTGCGCGTGCGACGGCGTTTGTACGAACACTGCCGGCCGGTATGAAAGTACTGCACAGAATTAATATCATTTACCTCGCCACGCTGCCTAGCTGCGCTCAGCCCTAACATTTGCCTCGCTTGTTATGACTTACGCAACGACATCTGTGGTCATCTTAGGTTCAAGAGTGACAATAGAGAATTTATTGCCGCTAACAAAATGATGTTGCAATCTATTATTGTGAATAAGTCACTACTTGAAGAGTTTCCTCTCTATCGTCTTTTTTTACTTGCCTTTTTCTAATAAAAGCGCTGCTCGTAACTTCAAAAGTTGTAACCTATTTACATGAAGCGAAAATGCAAGTATATAAAGTATTAAATACAATACATGTGTAACCTTAGTTCTTTATATTATTATATTAATTTATTACTATACAAAACATCTGGAATTTTCCTACAAATCGAGTTTAGATTGTTCGAATAAATTCGTGCCAAGGATAAAAGCTCTGGTTTATTCCACAGCATTATCGTTGCAAATGTTTAACTTGCAACAAGCTTAAAGCTTTCTATTGGGCAATAAAATTAATTGGACGTCACGAAAGTTTAATTAGTAGCAGAGAGCGACGCAGAATAACAAAGAAGGAATGGGACGCGGCCGGGCAGGACAAATGACATCCTCAACCCCTGAGGCGTCGCGCAATAAAATTACTGGTAATCGTCGTTTTTTTGTGGAAAAATGACTTTATTAACTGTTTAAATAACTGTTATTAAGTTGAAATACTTTCTTTATTATCAAGATAGTTTTTTCGAAACTTTTTAAGCTGGTTACAGATGCTGAGTGCTGACATTTTTAGATGAAAAGTTGAACTGTTTAATCAACTATGCGTGTGCAGGCAAAACTTTAAATAAACAGGTTGATTGTACAGTAACAATTGTCAGTTAAAACTGAGAATATGTGTCGGGCTTTAGAGTAGATTTCAATCGATATGAAACCCTCCAGATTTTCTTCAAGTATGTTTTATATGTGCAAATGCAAGGTTATAAAAGAGGCGCTAATGATACAGTTGCGTTTCTAACCATTCATATTGTATTATCTCGATTCTTTCCCATTTAGTATTACTACATCGATCTTATTTTCGCACATCATAATTCACATCGCATATTATCTGACACAGGCTTTTGACGTTGACAAACGGGTGCAAAAATATATTTCTATTTGACTTACATACTCCTAATAAAAAGGAAAACGACATATTTTTTTACTATGAAAAATCTATACGATTCTTACAACTAATTATTTCAATAACAATTTCATCTGCTAGAAGACAGCATTAGTTAAGGATTTCTAATTTGGATGTTTTGGAATCCGTACTTGCCGTTAACAAGGCTAATTGGCTTTTAAGAGCGCACATCATTGACTAAACTATCGTACAACTGTTTTGCGATAGTCGATTGTTTCGCAACCCAACTGTTTAGTTGCAGAACTAAAAATCGAGTAGTGTGCGCACCACCATATAAGCTCATAGGAACCAATGCAAGACTAAACAGTTGTGTAAAACTTTAGTCAAATGTGTACATGCGCTCTTACTGTCGGTTTGATTTGCGGAAGAACATTTTACCACATAAAAAACATTTAAAAATACAAACCTCATCTCATTTATATTCCGTTGGTTTTGCCAGCGTACGCCGAGAAAACCCTTCGTTATAAAAAGCTAAGTAATACAGGGGTTAAGTTACTAAGCTTAATTAAACCCTTTGCGTATTATTATAACATATTAGTAATTCTAATCTCACTTTAAGCTCCAACTTGCTTTAACTAAGTACAACATAACTTATGTCTTGGCTTCTTGGTATTAATAATTACTTGTACTTTAGAACATAATTGGCCTGAAAACTTTAAAATTAATCGTGTATAGTCTACCTTAGCTTATTACATAGTTACGTGATAGTATGCTAATACTTAATCAACACTAAGGGACCCGCTTAGTCACTAACTAGGTCTCTAGGTACAACTTTTAAAGAAATAAATGATATTTGACTGAAATTTGAAACTTTAATCTTTTAGTACTTTCCTGCATTTCTTTGTGAGTTTTTCCCGAATTAATTTCGTATAAAACTTACAAGATAAAGCTTATATTAGAACGCTGAGCCGTCCCTTCCTCGAGAACATAAAGTATTCGGAATAGAGTATTATTACCTATTCAACGAAGATCTCCTTTGTTAGACTACGTATTATTAAATTTGATAACGTTGAAATGAAAATACACCATTTTTTAAATTTATTATATTACATTTCCTCAATTTGCTATTGTTATTTTAAGGACACATACTTCGATATACCTACTTGAGTCATTTTATTAGGAATGATTTCTCTTCCCTAGTGTTTGTATTTTACTACTTCAATTGAGATTGTTTCTTCAAATGTCTTTAATATTGTTGTTTCATATAAAGCGTTCAGCAAGACAAAGAGCTAGAGATGTAAATCATATTTTGTTTAATTGAAAAAAACTTACAAAACTATTATCTTTAGTAACGTAGTACTGATTACGTAATAACAAAAAACGCAACATATTAACAAATATTAAGTTATAACAGTAATTAATACTTGAATTGCACAAGCAAGCAGGGAACCAAAACGTTCCACTTTTGCAAGTCGCAGGAAAACGTTTGCACAAGAAACTACTTCAGGATGAAATACAGTTCCCCTTAAACTTGTTTTATCTTAGGATATAGAATTTATTACTATTAAAGTAACTAGACGCGACACAAAGTAGACGAGTTCCAAGACTTCAATTTACATTACGTTTATTTACCGATAGGAGTTAAAGCTCCAAGTTTGTAAGAGGCAATGGATGTTAAAGTTATCAATTGAGCGGCTGGTTTGTTCGTTACGCAATGGTGGCGTGGTGAGACGCGGAAGACGGCTGGAGTCGGCCAATGGAGCATTGAAAACTTCGCAATAGGCACGTCCGCGGCCAAGCCCACTGTTATGAACTCTATAATCTCTATTGATAATACTAAGAAGTATAAAAAGTCGCTAAGGTTATGAAAAATGTCAAACGCCCGGTAATCATGTTTACATAGTCATAGTCATTCATTTGGCATTCTTGGCAAGTAACATGTACTTGCACGTACCAGCTGCAAAATGTGCGTGAGCTAACTGGCATAGCTCGCAAGTAGAATGCACTACATTTGATTTTGTGACTGTTACTGGCATAATAAAATAATTAGTTACTGGCATAATAAAAAATTGGCTATGAAACATATTGACATGAATGTTCTCGATAACTGGAAAGCTGTTCTATTTTACTGGCTTATTCTCTTCCTAATTAATGTTATGTCGTGTTTAATCGTGCCTATAAGCAGTGTTTTGTTTCATCTGCCAGTTCCGGACACATTTCCCTGATGTAACAATGCCGACCTACTTTTGCGTACTTTACCTTGAAATGTACAATTGCTCGTTAACCTAGTCTACAAATCTTTTAATTTTGTACCATCGTACCTTTACTTACATCAGGGATCTCATTCGTACCAATTTTTATGTTGCAAGTACATTACTTACGCAAGTTTATCTGGAAACCATTTTTTCAATTTTGTTAATTGTGTCAAGGTCTATCCACAGATCTGTCGAAATCTTAAATTAAGTCCCAGAATGTTGAGATTATGTTAAAAGTTCACGTTGCATAATGTATTTTTCTTAAAGGGATATTTATTTTCATGTTTCTAGGACAGGGGCCTGTTTTATATTGTGTTATTACTGATTATAACTTTAAAAGCGCGCACACCTTTGACTAAACTATCGGTCAACTGTTTAGTCTCGCTTTAAGTAGAAGAAGTAAAAGAAGATTTAGAGTTGGACAACTAAACAGTTGAATTGGCTGCGAAACAATCGACAATCGCACAACTGTTGTGCGATCGTTTTATCAACGGGGTGCGCCTGCTCTTACGATCACATTTTCGTTATCATTTCACTACAAGGAAGTAAAAGGTGGCAGTACAAGAATGAAGTGTGGTTATTTTTTATGTGATTTGAAAGATGGTGGGTAGAAAATAGAATAGCGGTAAAGTCAAAGGTAAATGGGGTAAATAATGTGGTGTGGGAAAGGTGAAATTAGGGTACAAATATTTGTGCAGCATTAGAAATGGTAAATAAATTTTTATACAAGCTTCAATATTTGGGATATGGTAAAAATCAAACACATTTATAATATTCTCAATTATAGTTTTATTTTTATAGAAAAATCATATACACTCATCCATTCGTCGCACATTATATATAAATACATTCTGTTTGTTGCATACAGAGATATTCAGAAAATAGCATTGGCTAATCACGACATTTATGGTAGCTAGCAATTACAACTCGGATTCGCTTATTGCAAGCTTCACATGTGTATAAAAACACATGACCATTAAACCGTTATCAAATACATGGTATTAACATTTAGATATTAAAGTTTACATATATTACACGTTTCTATTTTTGCTATAATTTCGAATACTTTTCGGATCCGTAAAGCAATATCACTTATTTATAAGTACGAAAATCCCTTAACACAAACTGCTGGCACAATGAAGATCTAGACGCGTTATATTGTTTAATATTACGAACTATCATAAGCTACACCGACAGCCTTACATGAAAAATATGTAAGTCAATAACTGATAATATACACAATAAATAAGACCATGGAATGTTATTAAAATTACGATAACCGCGCGGTCCTTCCATACGAGGGATAAGCATTCCGTCATTGTACTATACCCCAATCGACCGCGAATACGATCATTTTAGACGAATTAATAAAAAAAATAAAAATAAAAAAATAAATCTAACTCTCATTAAGACAAATTATAGCAAAAATACTTGCAAACGATTAGGCTTCTGCAGCGTGGCGGCTGCCGCGGAGCATGTATTGCTGGATCTGAACACGACAATCAACGATGAGCACACATGCCGGCTCCGACCTAAGTTTTTGTAACCCACGATTTAGTCTCACCCAATGTTTCATTTCTACATTATTTTTATGATAATTTTTAGGTGAAATAAACTAATTTTAGTCGTTTATCACATTGCTTTTGCATATGTAATAATAATGTTGAGAGTTCTGTCCAGAGGGACTAATTATTCAATATTAAATTAGCGATATTGCTAGTAAAATCAATTTTTG